ATGTAATTATCATTAAATATTTATCATCATGATTCATCAAATTGTCCATATGATATAATGTGCCATATTATGAATATTATTATTATACTTTTTGTGGACATATATATGTAAATGTATATGTCTATGAATTATTCTACAATTCTAGCGAGGTACCACTCAGCGGTTTCGCTGAGCGTGTAGTTTGTATTTTTTGTTGACTACACGTAGGTAACAAGAAGACAATGATGGAACCTTTCCTGGAGGGCATTGAGTCAGAGGAGATGCAAGGATGGCAGGCAATGTTTGGTCAACAGATTTTAAAATGTGTCATGATTTGATTATTATTGTACTTCCGCATTACTCTGAAAATATTTTTAAATGGGTCGCGATCTAGAGTCTGTAAATTTAATATTTATCAGAAATTGTCATTTCCAAATGTCAAGTGAAATTTTTATTTAACTCTCGTTTCACCTTAATTCGTGTAATTCCGGGTTATACGGATTGGGGTGTTACACTGCTTGTACCCGCACCTGATGGAGGACTCAAGAACGGATTACGACTCCCTAGCCGAGAAAAAGAAGAAGATGATGATGATGAAGAGTAGAAGAATGTCTTTGCAAATAAAATATACGCTGCAAATTTGATGTTTTTTGTTACATTGGTGAACTCGAGACACTGCTCAACTGACAAAGATAGTTGGTGAGCTTTGCTGAAATCTTGGATACATTTTCTGGATTTAATCCCTTGTAGATGAGATTAGTCGCGACTCTCTCAAAAAAGTTGAGGTACATGAAAAGAACTAAACTAAGAGCAAGACGTGAAAAAAATATCAAAATAGGAGTTTTATATATTTTTAATCTTAAAATAGGAATACATTACCAATAATTTCCATATATTATACCAAAACTTATAATGTGATGTCACTATACAATGTCATAATATCACAATATAAATTCTTATATTGACAACAAAAATATAAAATTTTTATTTCAAAAACATGACAAATTCTATAGTAGATCTAAGGTCCACCATTAACCTATAAAAAAAGGAATTAAGCAAATCCAAACTATAAAATTTATTTTAATTAAAAATTTAAAAATAAAAAAAATTGTGAAAAGATGCACAAAAAATGGTTGGGGCCTTGGTGGCCTTGGAGGTTCCATTTTAGCATTCGTTTTTTCAAGCTTAAAGAGAGAAAGAGCAGAGAAACCCTAACCAAAACCCTCCATCAGTCTCTCTTCTTCCAGTCACTTGGGGCGCGTCTGAGATGGCCTTCTCCTCGCTCCGCCTTCGCCGAGCGATATCTCTCTCTCCATCCTTACTGAATCGTCATCTCCACCACTCAAGCTTCATTGCCCCGCCCCCAAACGCCCCTCCCACTCCGGCTCCATCTCCAGTTACACGCGCGCCGTCTTCCAACTTGAACGCTCCATTTGTTTCTCAATCCAGGCTCTTCCGAGCATCGGCGGCCTCGTTTTCTTCCAGGTCTCGATTTGATGAACCGAATCCGAACGATGAGGGGCTCGACCCCAATACTATCCTTTTTGAAGGGTGCGATTACAATCACTGGCTGATCACTATGGATTTCCCCAGAGATCCGCGCCCATCTCGCGAGGAAATGATTGAAACTTACGTTCAAACGGCCGCTAAAATTTTCGGAAGGTTATCTATCCACTACACACATCTTTTTTTTGAATCCAAAAGAGTTGTTTTTTTCCGGGTTCAATTATCAGTATTTAATGAATGAATTGCTTCTGAAAAGAATCTGTTTCGTGGATTGGAAGTCCATGTGCGTAGGGAATGTAGTTGAGTGATATTAATTGTAACTGGATGCTTTTAGTATTTCTCGTATATGATTAATTCTGTAGCAAATTCATATCTCACATTTCTACTCATCACTTCTATAATGACTAGAATTATGGGTTAGAATTGGTCTGTTGTCTCCCTCATTCCGTCTGAGGTTGGGGAGCCAGTGTATGGAGTATTATTATACTATTATTCATAAAGGATGCATCTTTTTAGTTCATGTTGTATCACTTGTATCATATGATACCATAAATTATGGCACCAACTATTCGTAGGAGACAAATTAATTTATTGGATACTGTAGTTTGAATTCTGGAATCAGTAAATTAATTTCTTTTGTAAAGGACTATACATGATTAACCAATGGTCACAGGTTTTAGTATATGTTGCGCATTTTTTTGTTTCACTACCTGGATATAGTTATGAGGGATCACATATGATTCATTGATTAATTAGCATGATTTTTGTATCATTTCCCACCCATTTTGTTTTGCCATTATCTGGATATCTCTGTCTTTGCTAATGTAAATGCATTTCAAACTGATCGTTTCGTGGAATATGCTGTGACCTGCGTGGATGCCCAAACTGTGAAATTTATGATTCGTATTTATAAAGTATATAAAATGATTTGTTTGATCTTAATACTATCAAGTTTTAGTAACTGAAAATAAATATTTTGTAAATGTGAATACCTAAATGGGTGCAGTGTGGAGGAGGCTAAGCAGAAGATTTATGCCTTAAGCACAACAACTTACGAGGGCTTTCAGGTCTTATGTTCTGAGGAAACATCAGATAAGTTTAAAGGTAGGCAATTTTTTTGCTATATGTGGAAAATGGTAAATTTATTTCTGTTCTGACTGATTTGTTTTTAAAAATCTTATCAGATCTGCCTGGAGTAGTCTTTGTTCTGCCTGATTCGTATATTGATCCAGTAAACAAAGAGTATGGAGGTAGAAACAATTGCTCTTTACACCATCAGAACATTTGTTATGTCCAGCTCCAGTGGAGCTTAATGAGTCATTTTTTTACAATGTTTTTGGATTGAGTTAAAATTTAAAATTGACTAAATCAAAGTGATGCATTACACTTAACTTGCTTCTTGCTTTCTTTGATGTTTTTGTTGGTGGTAAATGTACAAGGGTCTAATGACGGCCTCTCTATTTTATGGGGGTCAAGTTGTGTACATCGTGACCCCCTAGATTCACAAAGTTGGAACTATACTGGGATTTTTGTTGTTGTACTTGTATTGCCAGTGTATTTGTGTCTTTCAATTACTATGAGTGTTTATCATAAAAACACTGGTTATTAACTTATCATATGCCTGGTGTGCAGTTCTTTTTTCCCCAATTGGATTGCTTACCTTTCTTCTACTATATATTAGGAGACAAGTATACCAATGGAGTAATCATAGAGAGACCTCCACCTGTTCTGTATGGGAGACAACGTCAGAATCAGAGGGGCAATCAATCATATGATCCTTCGAGAACTAGAACTCATGGCCCGCCACCTCAATCGCGCTTCCAGCAACCGCCGGGTCCTCCACCACCCCAACAGCACTACAATACTCCACAGGGTAGTCTCCCACCTCGTCAACCGTACTATGGCCAACCACAGCAGGGCCCTCAACAGACATATGGTCAGCAACACTCTCAGCAGGGTTTTGGTCATCAACAAAGTTTTCCACCTCAACAGAATGTTGACCCACAGCAGGGTCCTCATCAGACATATGGTCAGCAACACTCTCATCAGGGTTTTGGTCATCAACAAAGTTCTCCACCTCAACAGAATGTTGGCCCACAGCAGGGTCCTCAACAGACATATGGTCAGCAACACTCTCAGCAGGGTTTTGGTCATCAACAAAGTTCTCTACCTCAACAGAATGTTGGCCCACAGCAGGGTCATGTCTCACCTCAGAGTCCACCCTCCCAGCAGGGTTATGGTTTCCAACAGAGTCGTGGTCCTCCGGGAAATCAAATGGGTCCACCACCAGTGTATAACAGCCCTGGTGGATTTAATAGCTTTCAAGGTGGCCCACCACACCCCCAAGGAGCCTTTGTAGGGGAGAATAAAAACTATGGGCACACCCACGGTGACCACTTTGTACAAGAACCAACTAGAAGCCAGTGGCATGGAACTACTGCACCTTCCTTCAGAGGGGAGAATAAAAACTATGGGCACACCCAGGGTGAACGCTTTGGTCAAGAACCAAGTGGAAGCCAGGGGCATGGAACTACTGCACCTTCCTTTGTAGGGGAGAATAAAAACTATGGGCTCACCCAAGGTGAACATTTTGGACAAGAGCCAGCTAGAAGCCAGTGGCATGGAGCTACTGCACCTTCCTATGGGCAGAACCACCCAAGTGAGAGGAACCAAATATTTCCACAACCAGAACTGGTATGATATCTTTTATATTTTTTTTCCCTCTTAACTGTTTTTCTGGAAGCAGGGTAATGTATTCTAATGGATAGGCATATCACTCTAATAAAGGTTTTAGTTATCAGATTTTTCAGATATTGATTGCTTCATCCCTTGAAGGGATGATGTGTGATTAGGTTGATACCTCATCTATCTGGTATGAGAAATAGTGTTAGATATGGGTTTCTTTATTTTATGATTTCTAAGATAATTTTAGAAATATTGTGCCACTGTTTATTACGGGTTTGTGTTGGATACCAACACGCTTAGTTGAGGATACTTTGAATTTGTGGTTCAAGTATGCTTTGCATTGTTATCAAATAAGATGTCGACTGTAGTACTTTACATAGTTTTTTAATTTGCATTTAAATGGTTTGTGCTTCTTTTTATAGTGAAGTAACAATTCGTCAATACAACTTCCGATGCCCATCACGGGTCATTTGGAAAGATCCACTCTATGTTTTAAACATAGGCGGCATACATCCGAACCCCCCCCCCACCCTGCAATGGCCGGTAGTTTTAAGTCATCGGGGTAATGTTGTTGTACATATCATTTGCATCATACTATTTGATTCTAGCAAATTCATTTATTATCGTTTTGTGTTTTTTTGTGTGAAAACCATAACTTCATTTTCTGCTCTTTTATTCAAAGCAAAGCAGTACACCATAGGTCTATGTGTTTTTTTCCGCTTTAAACAAAGTGATTACATCATCATTGCTTGCCTTTCTGCCTTTGAAATTCTAAACTCCAACACCTGAATTTTTTCAACAGTTAGGAAAATAAGAATGACATATCAACCATGTAATGAGTTAATGGACAGTTTTATAGATTTTGGCATTTGGCTAGTCAGTCTTTCAATCTTACATTACTGCAATTTGAACTTGACAATCACCTTCTGAAACCATTATTTTGCATTCAAATTTGCAGGGAAGAAATTAATCTTTCATAATGTTGCATAACTGTGATCAGAACTTTGACATTCATTTTCTGCAACTATTCTTTTGCATTCAATTTTGCAGGGAAGAAACTGAAGAACTTTCAAGAACTATAATCAATGTGGCGCGACATGGAAGTCATCCAGCCTGCTGATCCGGGGAGCCTGAAAAGAATGTTTGTTTATTCATTCATATATATGCTAAAAAGTCTTGATCTCAAGAATAATCGGGTGGATTGTTGTTTATTTTGAGCTTGCTAATGGATGGACATTCTCAAATGTGGCAAGCAAGGATTTGAATTCGGACACCCCCTCCGTCTCAAACCGTTTGTCATCATGACATATGTCGTCGACTATAATTATTGATATTAAAGAAATTCAATATCAATTGCACCTTTTTGTTTTTAATTTTGCGTTTAGTTTTTCATTTTTTTAATTTCGCTTTAGTAGGGTAGAGGGATCAACTTGTTTCCCATGAACTGTGATGCATTAAGAAGCATTCTATTTATGAATTCTATTTTTGAAAACATATACTGTATGTCCTCCCAAATCCTCCATCCAAATATACCCATAGTGAAAACTGGACCATCCAACCCGGACCAGACTTGACCTAAGTAATAATACACTGTATCACCCTGTTTGTGACTATTGAGACTAGTCTAAGTATGCGTAGTGAAATGGGTCTGGTGAACTTGATCGGAAAATGAGGACAAATCCTATGAGCTATGCTCCCATGCTTTAAAGGGATGCGTGTGCAATTTTCTGTGATTATTCAGACTTTTGATCCTTTGAAATATACACAGTACTTTTACAAAGAATGAGGACAACCCTGGATGCTCTATGTAGCGGCTTGACAGGATTGGGAGGGGACAAATCATGAACTTGATCCTTAGGGGGTCACCTCATGTTTAGTGTACACAAAGAGCTACTCCCTTCGTCCCGTTTTAAATCGTCCGTTTTGACTTTTGGGCATATTTAAGGAAAATAAAAAATAGAGTTGATTTTTCGAATTTGTTAGTACTTTTTAAGAGGGATGATAATGAATGAAAAAATAATGTGGAGAAGAGTGACTTATTTTAGAGGTAGTTTATGTATTTTACTCTGAAAAGTTTACGAAAACAACTACTCCGTAACAGGCAACTTATTTTGGGACGGAGAAAAAAGGCAAACATGCAATTTAAAATGGGACGGAGGTAGTATTACAAAGAATAGAACATTCACACTCTTACTTAATGAGCTAGGCATCCTCTTCTTGGATAGTTGAGCTACTACCCAGCCGGGCAAGGATCATACTTTTGAAATATTAAAGACTATACGGCTTGTTTGAAAAATTATACAGAGTATTTGGGTTTCAAAATCAGATTACATGTTTGGAAATCTATGCAATTTGGATTTATGCCGAATTCCTCTAAATATCAAAAGACACTCAATTATAAATCCACACATTCTCCTTGTAATTAGAAATTCACGATTTCAAATTTTAAAATAGAAATACAATAGTTCAATTGGGATTTATATAATCAAACACTATTTTATACTCACTATGTAATATTCATTGATTCATTGATGAATTTAATGAAAAATAATAAATACTTCACCGCTCAGAATGTTCATCCAATTTATGAATATAAATCTCAATTACATTGCATTTTAAAAAACAGAACGTAATGAAATGACATTTTTTACTATTCTCCATGTTTTATACCTTTCTTTCTATTTTGACTTTTGTAGTGAATATTTTAAAACAATGATTATAAAATATAGAAAAAATATATTGAATTATAATATAAATTTAATATCAATAAATTTATTTTGAAACATTATTTTAAAATATCATATTTTTATAGAATATAATTATATTTATATTAATAGAATATTAATGATTAAAATCTTATATTAACAACGGTGAAAAATTAAATGAGAATAAAGATATGAGAGAGGAAAAGTAAAAAGGAATTGTGTTGGTGAGGCTCGGGTCTACCGTCAATTAACGCGTTAAACACCGTTTACAAAAAGCTTTGAAGACTCAAAGTTTCAAAGAAATTTTAAAGCAAGGGATCGATCCACAAGAAAATCAAGAAGGCGTCATGAAAGCTTTCCGGCAACGTTCTCTGTCTGACCGCCGCGTAGAATTGGTCAAAAACTCAGGTAGCATCTCCGAGTTTTCCTCGTCAACCGAAAGAAAGATCATCGAAAACAGTAAAAAAAGAAAAGAAACAATTTTGGACTTTTCTCATTTCAAGAGAAAAAAGTGGATGTTTTGATACGGAAAACCCCCCAAAAATGGAGTCTTTCTACGGAAACCCAATGAGCTGTAAAAGATTAAAAGAAAAAAAAAGTGTCCCACTTGCTGCTGAAGCAGTGCAGAGTGAGTGAGAATGAGAGCCAGCTATTCTTACCTCTCATTGATTGTGACTTTTCAATCTTCTTCTTCTTCTTCTTTCTTTGTTTCTTTCTTTTTTTGTTTTATTTTAAAAAAAAGAACATAATAATTAAATATTAGAGACAGTAAATAGTGAGCTGTAATTGCAGGAGATATATATCATTCATATTTAATCTTTCATGGCCTCCCCCCAATCATCTGTTCATCTTCGTTAGGAAAAGAATGAAAAAGACAGCACGGGCAAACCCAAGATATCAAAGAAAATCAGGGGTCAGATCGCGAAAAACATAATCATACAGAAACCATATCGGGTTGGCTGTTTGGTTGGTTAGTCCCTACTCCCTTCTGGCCTTTCTCTGTCAACTGGGAATAGTCCACACTAAAGAAGAAGAAGAAGAAGAGCCCGGGGAAGAACGGTGCCTGAATAGTTGATTAATTTTGTTGAAGTTCTGTTCATTTGTTAATCTAATTGGGAGTCGCGTTCCTCAGATTGCAAGACTTTTATTTCCAATCGAAGCATATCATCTGCGATTTGTGTTTAGGTATGGGTTTGCTTCTCTCTCTCTCTTTCTCTTTTAATTCCTGCGGATTCGATTTCAATGAATTCGCCTGAGAAATGCTGTTCAGAACTAGGAGAAATGTGTTTGGGTGTTTTTTCTTGGAAGAATTTGTTGGAATCGGTAATGATTCAGTTCTGGGCAAGATTCAAGATTTGTTTTTTTATAATTTAGCATGGTTGGTTGAATAAATCAAAAGCATGAATTATAGATTGCTATGGGAAGCTTGAATCTCAGTAAAACAAGCTGTAAATCCTGTAATGAGATTTAAAAGAGTAGTATTTGATTGCCCTCTGTAAGCTGTGAAGGATAAATTAGTAGAAGCTGTGCTGGTGACATGGTTTTAGCATTGGATGCTTGCTGTATGAACATAATGTATTTGCTTCTTATGGTGAATTCAAGTATCTTATTTGTGTTTTTTAAAATCTGTCTTCTGATTTGATTATTTGGTTGTGTTGCAGGAATTGTTGTTGTTTGTGTGTTTTTTTATCATATGGCAAACTCAAAGGGAGGGTCATCCAGTGGCATAAGGAATATGATGTACAATGGGAAGAACTCTTTACTGCCACCTAAAAGTCCATTTCCGATTATGCCCCCATCGTCCTATGTCCCTACTGCAATGGCCACACAAAAGGGCATTCCTGTCCAGAAGCCAAACAACCACCAGCGAACTTCGTCCGAGAGCTTTCTGATGGACGAACAGCCATCCTGGCTCGATGACCTCCTCAACGAAGAGCCTGACACCCCTGTGCGAAGGGGAGCTCATCGCCGTTCCTCCAGTGACTCTTTTGCATACTTGGATGCTGCCAATCTCTCAAGCTTCGATCACGCTTTTCAAAATTCTTGGGGGCCCCACCGCGAGTTCAATCAGCCCGGAGATGGTTGGCGCGCTGCTGCTTTTTATGCAGATTCTAATCTGTCAACTAGACACAAGAGTCAGGCAAGAGATGCATCTCCTGCGCGTAAACTTGTGGCTCCTTCTCCAAGAGAAAGTAATGTTGGGGTTCAACATTTGGGAACAATGCCACAAGGAGCTGATGGGACCCAGTCTCTGACAAGCGAGAAGCGGGACCCGGTTGAATCTGGACCAGTGGATTCAAAAAGCTCTGCCGAAAAGAAGGAACCCAAAACTTCTGCCTCAGAATCAGACACAAAGCGTGCTAAGCAGTATGTCTAAATCCAAATCCTCTCGCTAAGCTTATCACAAAAATTGATATTTATGTGTTCTTTTGGATGGTTTTGTTTTCATCGTTTCTACTATTACGGACGTAATTTGGTTTGAACTATTCCTAAAGAGGTAGGACTAATCATAAATGCTGTGTTTGGTAGGCAATTTGCGCAACGTTCACGAGTTCGGAAGCTTCAATACATTGCTGAGCTGGAAAGAAATGTCCAAGCTCTACAGGCACGCACATACTTTAGCTTATGAAGATGTTTCTAAATTGTTTGGTTAAGTTTATGTTAATGTAACTGTTTTTGTATGCATTGTTTGCGCAGGCTGAAGGTTGTGAGGTTTCTGCTGAGCTCGAATTCCTCAACCAGCGAAACCTGATTATGAACATGGAGAATAAAGCTCTTAAGCAGCGACTAGAAAGTTTAGCTCAAGAACAACTTATAAAGTATTGTAAGTTACTCTTAATTACTTCCACTAAAGGTCAACTAAGTCCTTCAAATGAGTTTGTCACTCCATAATTTAGTACTCCCTCCGTCCCTAAATAAACTTCCATTTTTGACTTTTAAGGATTTAAGGGAGGGATATTTTTGTGTTGACTTTCCAAAAATACCCTTGATGTGATGTGTAAAAGTAAGATGTGATAGGTAGATTATTAGTAAAAAGGTATGATGTGATAGGTAGGGTATGAAAAAGTAAGGGGTAAAAGTGGTTTTTTAAGGAAAAGAGAAGTTTATTTGGGGACAAAGAAAAAACGAAAGGGGAAGTTTATTTAGGGACGGAGGGAGTATGTTTTAGACAAATTCACCATACTTTCTTCATTCTATGCAGAAAGTAGACAACTAAGTCCATCATCAAGAAATGAGTTTAAAATGTCAACTAAGTCCTTCAAATTAGTGAATCATTCATATCAACAATGCTCATACTCCATCTTTCTGATATTTTAGACAAATCATTGTATTTTCTTTATAGAATATTTTCTTAGTGTTTGTTGTTGAAAATATATAGCTGATAACTGATAAGTATGAACCTGGTGTAAATGGTATCTGTGCAGTTGAGCAAGAAGTATTAGAGAGAGAAAGAGGGAGACTGCGCTCATTGTATCAGCAGCAGCAGCAACAAAACAAAACAAACCAACAGCAGATATCTTCTGGTCATAGGCGAACCACAAGTAGAGATCGTCTCGATCAACAATTTTCAAACCTTTCTTTGAAAAACAAGGAAGCCGCTTCCTCTGATCACGAACCACCCATCTCTGGCCAACTCCAAACCTGACCTCC